TTTTAACTTTTAAATTATTTTTGTTTTTTTGAGGCAGGGTCTCGCTATGTAGTTCAGGCTGGCCTCAAACTAATGGAGATCCTCCTGCGTCAGCTTCCCCAGTGCTGCGATTACATGGGTGTGCCACCACACCCTACTTCACTTTTAACATGGAGGAGTCTAAAGTCCTCAGAGTAGTTGTTTCCTGCTGCCAGTTAATTTCTCTTGAGTGGCAGTGTGGCTGGGAATCAACTCCAAAGTGAATTCTCTTTTTTATATTGTCACCTTACTCTTCTGCACTCAGTAACCCAACCTAAGTGATTTGATACTAAATTTTCACTTTCTGCTCAGATATACCTTTGTACAGAGTATTAAACATTTTAAGGAAAAATTATGCCAGTTTTAAAAATATTTAGCTGTCTGTGGTTTACTCTGCTTTAACTCTAGTTTTCATCACTGTTTTAGTTTTTTTCTTAAGTCTGTGTCTTAGCAGACAATTTCACTAAGTTACTTTCTGTCATTTAATATACAATTTCTTTCAGACAAATGCTAGAAATTGTTAAGGCAAAAGCATGTAACTGTTGGGTTCTTAAAATGGATTAGTTCTTGTGCCATGCATGGAACAAGACAAACATCATGACTCACATCTATTATAAATTTGTGGATTGTAAATCTGGGGTTTTACAAATCCTTTCTTCTGTCTTGGCCAGAAACTTCAAGGTAAAATCATCATGTTTTTTTCTGACTCAACTTCTCCACACAGGAAAAAGAGAAGATACTTAGTGACTTGGTGGGAAACTTTATTGTGAGCTTTCTGTGAATTTTTGGAAATGTGCAAGGCTTACGCCGTTCTCCTACTGTTTTGAAGAGTCTTCAAACAAACTGGTGTAACCGTATTTACCAGGTGTGTGTGTGGGGAAGCACTTGACTTGTGGGTATCTGGGGAGAATGCTGATGAATCTGTGGGGGAGTGTGGGGGAACCTCCTCTTCTTGGAAAAGAGGAAAGAGAGAGGGAGAGAGAGAGGTTGTAAGCATGTCATAACAAAGCTCCTTTGAGCTGTTCTGGGAGTGGCAGGGTGTGTCACATCATCCCTCAGCCTGACTGCTGAATAATCAAGTTATAATGTTTGCAATGTTTCAACCCATAGGCAACAAAAAGCGCCAACGAAACAGTCTCCTAGGTTATTAAATATTTGGGCCAATGATCACTTCTGTTGAACTGGAAGAAAGTATTTTTTGATAAAACTGTATGATGAATAAAAGGATAATTCATTCTTTAAGCTATATTTCTTCTCTTCAAAACAAGCAAACTACTTTTTTTCATACATGATCAATAAAATGTTTCTTGTGGAAGTAAAATGGGAAAGAAGCAGTTTTAGAGCAAATACATTCTTTTATAGACAGGTGGATTATTATATTATATTATATGATATATTTATAGGAATAGAATGTAGGGCCTCACACATGCTAAGCAAAAGCTTTACTACCAAGCCATATCACCAGCCTTTTTTATTTTGAGAAAGGATTTCCTTAAATTGTCCAGATTGGCTTTGAACTTCTGATTCTCCTGCCTCAATTTCCCTCAGGGTTGGGATTACAGATGCACGTCACCATGTGTGGGTCCCATCAAAATTTTTAGAAGAAATATTTGTTTTACAGATGTAAAGTATTTGGGATAAAACAGATCAAGTCGTTTTAAATATCTGTAAAGGAAGGAAGGTAGCTGATATGTAAGGAAATGTCAAGTTGATTTCCTTGATTATGGAATAAATTCATCATTATTTGAATCTGCACTATCCTATGCATCTGCTTCATCCTCAGATTATTTCCCATTCATTCATTCATTGCACAGCCACTGTGTTCCAAGTATCCACCAGATGCCCAGGGCCGCTGTTTGTCTTTAGGAACAGTGAGGAAAACAGAGGAGAACCCCTGCTCAGTTTTTGGCTGGGGAGGCAATTAACTGTAAAAACTGTAAAGGAATTATGGAGTGTGTTATGGAGAAAACTGTAAAATATGATTTCCTATCTGCTTCATAAAGTTTCAAATTTCATCAAGAGAAAAGAGTTGGTCTTTTCCTCAGATCACATGGCAAGAGATTGAAAATTATACATGATAGCATCAATTGGTTATGTTGATGTTGCAGCTTTCTGAGTTTTTAGTATGAATAGGACATTTTCTTCTAAATCTCATGCCTCATAACTGACTCTAATCCTCATGCTAACATAACTGACAACATTCTTCTTTCAGACATCCCCTGCAGGCTGTGTACTTTTATACCCATGCTAGATAATTTTTAAAAAGTTAAGCCACAATATTTATTTTTGGCTTAACTCACAGCTGCCTAGTGTATCAGGCAATATGGTTTCATGTGTTTGTTCTTGTCTATCATCCTGTAAAACAAGAAAGATTTGAAAGGTATTTTTGGTTAAGGGCTTATATATTTAAGTTAGAAAAGCATAGCTTCATAGTAAAGTACTTAGAAAATAACAAGCATTCCACTTTAAAACAAAGGCATGAAAAGACATTCCACTTTATTTTATTTATTATTATTTGTAACAATATATTTGCTGCAACAAGCTCTAGCTCACATTATTGAATTAAAAAATTAACACAATTCAAAAATATCAAAAATATACTATGATATGTTTTAGGACTCTAACATGATGACAATTGCACTATACCATAAGCGACATTCATTGGCAACAGAGAAGGAAAAACATAGATAGCATCTGGGAGGTGTGCATGAGATTAAGAAGATAGGGAGTTTATGCTGATTGATCACCAAATGTGGACACCGTGATGAACAATGATGATCTCAGACTCAGGGAAATTTAAAGCTACCCTGGAGTCTCCTCGAGTTGCACAGCTAGGTCTTTTTCTTGGTGTCTGCTCCAGAGTCTGGCCCAGGGTCTGATACTCAGCAAGTACTTATTTAATCGATCACAGACACCAGCCAGAGTGTGCAGTTGAAAGGACAAAACAGTACTTCCCTTTCAGCAGTAAGAGCATTGAAATGGTGTTTCTACTTGACTGATAAGAACTATTTCTCAGTAATATTTTTTCTCCACAGTGGCTGTACATTTAAGTCCTTCTAAATTCCACCCTAAAAGACCCCAGGAAAACAGAATGGTAGGAGAAAATGGAGTTATACAAGCAGTTCACAGTTCTAAAGTCATGCACTTTCAGACTAGCTTCTGGAAAACATGACAACTGAGTAATTTTGAGAATGGCCTCAAGAATTTCTTCTGCTTTCAACATGTGAGTTCCACATCTGCCTCCCCCTTTCAACTGCACACTCTGGTTGGTGTCTGTGATCGATTAAATAAGTACTTGTTGAGTATCAGACCCTGGGCCAGTGTCCACATTTGGTGATCAATCGGCATAAACTCCCTATCTTCTTCTGAACTATTTTTCTGCTATGCACCGGTCTATGTCTCTTATTTTACGCTGCCAAGTATTTTGCTTTATTTTGTATCTTCTTCCTGTACTATTTGTAAGATTTTTAGGTAGGAGTATGTCTTATATTCCTAATTGAGTAGTACCTCTAACTTTCAAACAGTCAGAATTACCCAAAGATTTATTTGGGTTTCCTTAGGTATTGCTGAATTTCTGCCACTAGAAATGCTTCTGCCCAGGGTGGACAAGTACTGAACAAGAAGAATATTGCAAGAGGGAATTAAAATATCAAAATTTCCATGATTTAAGTGCAAATCCCTCAAGATCTTTGGTCACAGCAAAAATGCAGTAGGTGTTTCATAGATACTTGTGGTGAATCAGATGTAAATATTGGGCTCCAATATTTTGGCCACTATGGTTATTTCCTGGGACTATTCAAGAACTAAGTAAAATAGTAATAACTTCCATCATTAGGAGCACATGTCATGTGTCAGGCAATTTGTATGTGTTGACTCTTCTTGTATACGCATATGCATAAAATTTTACAGAATCTGAGGCTAGAAAGATTAAGCACTTAGGATTTCTCCAGAAATTTAGGACTTTTCTCCTAAACCCACATTTTCCCCACTGCAGCTGGATAATGTAATTTGAAGAGGTGTCCTAGTCATATAGAACATCTGTGACCTTGCCTTCAGTAGCCCCACAGATGCTTGAAATGTTTCATTCAGAACTGAACTCGTTTAGTTTACGACTTTGATCCTGGTTAATAAATACTCGGGCCCTGGCAGTGAGGAGCTGTCAGTCAGCCTCGGTTTAGTAGTGTGAGTCATCCTTATTCACTGACTGCATACTGTGTATCAAGTCCATGCAAAGTATTGGTGTTATACAGATGAATAGGGTTTGGCTTTACCTTTAAAATTCTCCATCACATAGCGACGACTGTTAAATACACAGGCTATGATGCAACAAGGTGGTACACTGACACAAGGGAATAGCGACAAGCTCGGTGAGAAGCAACTGGCTCCGTTTCAGGTACTTCCCTGGGAACAGATTGGGTAGGGAGTAGGTCCTGGGAAGGAAGGAGGTGTAGGAAGGCAGGAAACCTGGACTTTGTGAAGAGTAGGCTCCGCGTAGACATTTCTAAGCAAGTCTGTGTAATCTAGTGGGAATTCTCTTTGCTACTCTTCAAAATATTTCTTCTATCAATTTAGTACTAAATAATTTGCCATTGATGCTATATGTGGCACCAGGACGAACTGCTGCAATCGACTTGGAAGAATGGAGATTAGACTGGTTTTTGTGCCACTAACATGTCTGAGAAATTTGCAGTATGACTGCCACCACGTATTTCCTTTATTTCATGTGTCACCTTCCGGCTTTGTGTTGTCTAGTAGGATTGCCTTTATTTACTTATACCTGCATGTATTTAGCCCAAGGCAGGCTCTACCAACAGGCCCTTCCTGCCTGAGCACGTTGGAGACCTTTAGAAGCTGCGCAGACAGCAGCAACTTCGGTATGAGTCATTTTTTTCAATCGTGGACCAGCTGCCAAGAGGCCTCTGCAAGCGGAGAGCGGGTGGGCGGGGCCGCGTGGGCGTGGTCGCGGCAGGAGTGGCGGGCGCGGCTCAGGTGAGCCAGCTGCGCCTCTGCCCTCAGAGCATTGCTTGCACCCCCAGGTCTCCGAACTCCTCGCTTGCCTTGTTTCTCGCCGCATTTTCCAGGATCCCCATAACTCAAGGTAAGCAAAGTGGAGTCTCAGGGCGGATGATTTCCCTTTCTAGGCTCCTCGAAGCGGGCTTGAGGGGTGAACGCACTGGACAAGTGGGCCTTTGGAACACTGCCGCTTCTAGTTCCCCGGTTGGGCTGCAGTTCCAACTCTCCGTCCTTGGGGCCCAGGGATGCCACGTAGGAGTAAAATCTCTCAACTACACAAGGTTTTTTGTTTTTTTTTGGCTTTTCTCCGGTACCGGGAACTGAACTCACGACCTTGCGCTTGCCAGGCAGGCACTTTGCCGCTGAGCTAAATCCCCAGCCCCTCAACTACACAAGGTAAGAATGAAGCAATGATACTACCGCTAGAAGCTTTTAGTGGTGATCGGTCCCCAGCAGTGATTCACAGAAGACATTCAGAGCTCTACCTTGAACTCCGATGAATTTGCAGCGTTGGTCTCAGAAAGGGTGTGGGACCCAGCCCTGGAGAAAGTTGAGTAGCTGTGTGTCAGACCCCTTTGTTGGGGGTACTGAGGGGTTGAAACAGACTTAAGGACTGCTCTGCTTTTCGGCATTTTTAAGCATCGGCTCAGTGCTCATCTACTGGCAGCTGCTTTCTCCTAGATGGAAACTCTTCTCCCTTCCTCTCTCTGGCTTTCACATACCTTAAACAATTTGCACATTTCAAATGTGGATTCCTGGACTTTTAAAGTGGTCTGGCTCTTGGCAGTTTCTTCCTCAGGAGCTCTCCCTCTCTCTTTTTTTTCTAATGGCTTCCCTTAGGCCTATCACAGTAAGAATCCATCTAACAGGCTAGGCTGTCCCATAGACTTGTAGAATGCTCAAAACTAGGGGACCTTCAGGTACTTTTGCTCAGCCCTCTCATTTCATAGCTGAGGCTCACAGCGGTGAAGTGGTATCCCAAGTCCCCGCTTGTAAGCGGCACGGCTGAGATAGAATTGGGCCTTCAAACCTGGAGTCAGGGATGTGTCTGTGACACGATGGATTTTCTGAATGTGTTTCCACCCTCTGCGTCTCTCAGGAGGTTTGCAATAAAACTAGATGGGCTCTGTGTGTCTGTCGCCATCAGTAAGTGTGAGTGTTTGATGGGTGCTTTGATGGGTGGAGAGATGGGAGCTTCTCTGAGGATAAAACTCTCCATAGAATATGAGTCAGCAGCTTTATGTTTTTGCTTCCTAACGCCTTGAGCTGTGCCACTTCAGTCCCTCTGGGCTGCAGACTGTCTTTCGAGCGTGCAGTCTCAGCAATCTGGGCTGTTCTGGTGTGGTTTAGTCTGGTCCACTGTGGGGTGGGTCAGGGGACAAGGCCAGGTTTCTAAAGAAGCAGGAGCAGCTGTGATGTTTCAGAGCAGGTGAGCAAAGCAGAATTCCCGCACCATTGGAAATTCAAGCAATTAACGTTATTACTAATGGCTGCATCGGACTTCCCTGAGGACAAAGCTCTTTTCACATACATTCACTCACTTAATCACTTCATGTAATCCTTATAATAGTCTTTCACATTGTGGGAGCTACAAAGAGTTCATATTTTCTTAATCTGACTCTGATTTTTCTCTTTCCAGAGCTGGAATGTAAGCCACAAAGGTTGTGTTTGTAGGCATTCCGTCATAGGTATGATTGGCAAAGTAGCGCTTTGAAACTCCTAAGAGCAGTTTTCAGCATGTGCCGCCCTCTGTAAAATGAGGCAGACTAGGCTAAGGGACATCCACAATGCCCTGACACAGAGAAAATTTAGTTTAATGAATGAAAAACCATGCAAATAGCTATGCACATAACGTGTTCACACACACATGCCTGTGTACAAAAGGGTGGTAGATGGTCTATGGGGGGATGAACATACTGTGCTGGAATAAGAACATGCTTGAGAGTGAGAGGGGAATTGTCCCTAATGTCAGTACAGAGGCCCTAAACCAATGCGGACATGTGATTGCCCTTTCCACAGGGCTCTTAACTCATCAAAATTATCTGAAAACAAAAGATTTGAGGACCATTGGCTCAGATGCATTTCAAACTTAGAAAAATCTTTATACAGGGGAAAGTGACAAGTTTTAAGTCCAGAGAAGTGCGCACTCCTGCCCCAGCCTAGTACATGAGTCTCCACTTACTTGAGGCCCCCTGCAGTCTCTAAATTGTATCCTTTCTCTCTGGCCTACATTGTTGTGTGTCTCAGTCCTAATCTTTCAAGGCTTGTCCCTAGGCCCTTATCGTGACTACTTAGATGTCACTGTCTGAGATGTCATTGGCATTTCCAATTTGGGTTAGGTGTTGCTAAGGGCTCCCATGGTAACTTGTGCACGATGTCAAAACACTCATCATGTGTATCACACCACTACTGATGGCCTGGTGGTGGCAGGAGCCATGCTGTGTTCATCTTTGATTTCTTAATGCCTCCCTTACTGTCTGACACTTGGTAGGTGCTCAGTACTTACTAAATGAAAGCATTATAATATTAAGAGTTTGCAATTTAAATGATAGAAAGAGAACCAGAGCTCCTTAAAGTAGAAAAATCAAAGAAAAACTTTGTGTTGCTGAAAACAAAACCAATCATGCAGCGTATTTTGGCATCTTTTGTTGTTGTGCTGGGGATTGGACCCAGGGATGCTGTCTAACCAAGCTGAACTCAGCCTGTTATCATTTCTTATTTTGAGACAGGGTCTGCCCAGGTTGGCTTGAACTTGTGCTCCTCTTGCTTCAGCCTCTCAAGCAGGTAGGATTATAGTTGTGTGCCACCATCCCTGGCACATTGTGATATATTTAAAGGGGGTAATTCAGGACACATAGTATTTCTGGAACTTGAGAGACCTCAGAGAGAGCAGATGCCAACAAAGACACAGCTGACAGGAAAGATGGTGCTAGGTGTGGTGGGAAGTGCCAGGCTGGGACTGGAAGAAATGAACTCTAGTTCTGGTTTTGCCACTCTCACTCCCTGCGTGGGTGGCCTAGGAGAATCACTTCATCTTTGTTCATCGCACTTTCCTAATTTGCAAAATGCGAAGGTGGGGCCGACACCAGATCCCACTCCAAGATCTTGTCCTACTTTAGATTTCTGATTTTAGAACACCTTTGGAAAAAGTTGCAAAAAGCCAGCCACTTTTGTGGAGATTATTAAAACTGCATTTGTATCACTACTTTCACTTTCACTTCACTTTTCTCTTGTTAAAATAAAAATGCTTTTTAAGCATTGAAGTGACTTTGAAATGTATAGGATTTTTTAACAAAATTATCTTTGTTAAAATTGTTACACAATTTTCATGAAAATGAAAGATGCTGTCTCTAAGAATATTTCAGAAATATTGTAGCAATTTTATACTTTGCACACAAACCACTGGACATATAATTTTACTATATAGAAACTGTTAATTTCTTCTGTTGTACCTATAAATTTTTGATAGCATTTGTTCATCCAAAATGGTCTTTGTAGGAATTTAACATCTTTTCCTGGGCATGTATTGCTCACATTTCTGGGATTTGTTTCAATGTTGTGATCATCTTATAACACAGCAAAGTGGCAATTGGTAGTAGCCAAAGTCATATCTTCAGCCGTTTCAGACCAGATAAACTTCATAGTTGCTTTTAGGTCACCCAGGAGCAGATGATTAGATTCAACACACAATATTTGGTTATAATTGGTGATTATTTACCAATACATTTTTCATGTACAAGCTTTTTTTGGTATCTCTGTCCAGCATCAAACAATGCCGCTGTGGCTAGGATCTTGGGTGTTATAGCCAGATGCCTTTCCCCTCAGCCAGGGAGAATTTTTTGAGAAAGGAGGCAGTCAACACGTGGACAGGAAGATGGAAAGGAAGGCAGATGGGTTTAGACTGATGCCCAATGGTCTACCATGCAAAAAAGAAGGGGCTCACTGAAAGTGAGCTTGGCTGGTGGCAAAGCTTCTGGATGTTAGATGTGTAATGATTTATATTCTCCAACAAGGGTCTGATTTGTATTCTCCAACAGGCTTTGTACTGCAATACAGCCTTAACATATTGTGTAATTAGCTGCATTAAAAGCCAAATGAACTGATAGTCATGGAGTAATTTAGGCCTAATGTATCTAAAATGCTAGAATGAATAATGTTTTGGTTGGACAAAATGAATATTTTGTAAAATGAGTATTTCCTTACCCTTTGATTCACTTCCTGGATTCCTTACTAGGTATCTCTTAGCAGGTTAATCTATGCTTTTAAACGTAGCTTTTCTACACAGAGAAAATCATAAAAATTGTAGTCTATTATCAACTTACAAAATTATCCTGACTTCTCTTCTTAAGGAGTAGTAGACACATGCCCAGGGAGAACTACTTGTGTTTGTGAAAGCACAATTTGTATATTTCATATTATTATCAGTGTGGTTAAGCCCCAGGTTATAGAAACGTTGAAAAGTTTGCAGGGACATAAGTTTAGGTTTCTCTGCTGGGTGAAGAAATTGATCATTACTTTATGTTCACATTGAGTTTTAGATGTAGATAAACTAAGCTTTGTCAGTGTTAAATTTGCTGCTGGAGGAAGCCAGGCTCCTTGTTCTCAAAGTCTCTACCAACATTCCCCAAACCTCTGGTGAAGTTTCTTTTAATTTGCCCAGTGGTGAGTGCTCTGCCTGAAACACTCCCAGTCTCCCATTTTTGTTCCAAGACACTGCTGGTTTCAGTATATACCTAGTGCTGGTCAGCTCCGCTGGGGTAAGATTTCATCCTGCGGCCAGATCCTGGCCCAAGGGGAGAAGAAGGCTGTGTGGGCTTAAAGGACAGCACAATGCCCAGTGCCTATCAGGACTTTAGGTTACCTTGTGATAGGTTTGTAGTGGGCACACTATTCAAGGTGCACTTGTACTTATCAGTGGCATAAAGAGAAGGAGGAAGTCAGTGGGATGACCAGTGAGCATGAATAAAGCCAACAAACTATCATCATCATCACCAATCATCAAAATCATCACTGTTATTTTCATCAATATTATTTTGCTAATAAACTTGCTTTTTCAGACTCTACAATATAATATTTTTAGTTTGATCAATACACAAGCCATATATCCCATAAAAGAGAATTATGAAGAGATATTTGAAGGTCAGTGGGCCACTACTTGATCTTGGGAGGTTTTTATGTCTTTGCATTTTGAGTTTCTATCCAGGTATAGGAAGCAAGTTGCTATTTTATTCTTGGCTTTGAGTCTAACACATCTGTAGGTCTTGGCTAAAGAAACCCTCTATCTTGAGTAAAGGTGTCTTTTGTCTGATACCAGTGTGTGTGTCCTTCCCAAAGACATTCATTGTCACCTTGCTGTCCATGTCTGTGGGCACATAATTCATCATTCCTCTTTGTGCATTTGTCTCTTGTCTTTTCTCCTGTTCTGATAAGGACATCAGTCATTGGATTAAGGCCCACCTAACACCAGTATGACCTCATGTTAGCGAATTAAGTCTCAAAGATCTTATTTGCAAATAAAATCACAGTCATAGGTACTAGAGATTAGGAGTTCAACATGTCTTCTTGGAGGATGCAATTTATCTTATAGTATTGAACAAATATGCAACTGAATCGCACAAAATGACTGAAATTACTGTTTGCGATCTACAAAAATGACAACTATGTATGATTTAACCAAAATCCTAATCAAAACAATATATGATGAATAAATCCAACTGATTTTATTCAGTGCTGTCAATGACTCTGAGCACTTGCTGAGGGGGAACTGTGGTGGGTGGGCTTCAGACCACGGCCCTTGTTGTGGAGCAGGACTGAGTTTAGAGATTCCAAGCAGTTCAGTGAACACAGACCTCATATGCTTTAGGACCTTTGCCCAGAGGTTTCTCCACAAATGGCTTTCTTCTTGAATTTATGGAAAGTTCCTTCCAGTCTTCTACCCAACATCATCACTTTGTTGAGGCAGAATACTTACTGACAGAAGGCAGTTGAGAACACTGTAAATATGCCTTGCAGATGACCCCTCCTTTGTTGTTGGTTCCAGGCCCACAATGGATGCCCTGCAGCTGGCAAATTCGGCTTTTGCTGTTGACCTGTTCAAACAACTGTGTGAAAAGGAGCCAGAGGGCAATGTCCTTTTCTCTCCAATCTGTCTCTCCACCTCTCTGTCGCTTGCTCAAGTAGGTGCCAAAGGGGACACAGCAAATGAAATTGGACAGGTAAGCCCCCTGTGTCTTGTTTTGACTTTAGGTAGAAATACTGTTATTAGAATCCATAGGAAGGGCCTGGAGAAGAGATGGAGACTCTGTGGTCAGCACTGCTGAGACTGAGAGTTGTGGCTTCTGCAGGACTCTCTGAGTCTATTTTTTGGTATTGTGAATTGAACCCAGGAGCACTGTCAATTGAGCTACTTTTATTTTTTATTTTTTAGGCAAGGTCTCACTAAGTTCCCTTGAACTTGAGATCCAACAGCCTCAGCCTCCTGAGTAGTTAAGATTACAGTTACAAACCACTATATCCTCTTAATCTATTTTTAAATGCAAAAGCTCATTGATGTGTCCTATGTCCCATGTTCAGAATAGGTGTGGGTTGTGGTGGAGAACCTGGGTTCTGGTAGCCACCTGCAGGTATTCCATTCACCAATGGCCTTTAGCAAGTCACTGGACACTGCTCACCTGTTATATTGTAAAGGTCAATGGAGGTGGCTTTTATCAAATATTCCACATAAATACCTGAGCAGAGTGTGAATCCAGACCCCATCTCCACCCTAGAGAGCAAAGCAGTACACTTTGTCACACAATTTACTTATAGCATCATGCAAGGTCAATTGCATTCTATCCTAAAATATATCCACACTTATTTTAGTAGAGAGATGACATTTTAAGTTATCTACCTTCAAGTATTATAGATAAATAAGATGAACGGTTTTCATATTTTTTAAATAATAATCTCAGGGGACTTGGATTCTCATTAAGAAGCATGGACTAACATGATGTTTTACACAGACACACACACACACACACACATAGACACACACATTCAGAGATACACATTTGTAGATGTTTTAGTTTCCTTTTGGTTATCATTGGCTGTGTAGCTTTTAAAGTTCTCAGACTTTGAAAGGAAATGATTTTCCTGACTGTTACGTATTAAGCCCTCATGCACTTATAGATGGTAGGTAAGTGTCCTTCTAATTCCATACTGCTATTGTGTTGATTGCTCTAGGTTCTCTCCATAAGCTCATAGACATTTGAAAAGAGAATACATTTTTGTATGCATAAATGTCCAGAATTATGACCAACAACGTGATATTTGGGTCAGGATGAGGAATTTACACTTGAGATTGAGTGGGGCTTGAAGAAGAAACTTCAGTCCTGTCTCAAATTGGAGAAGGAGCAAAAAGAGAGCTTCTTTGCTGGATACAATGGTGCATGTCTGGAATTCCAGCTAGTCTGAAGGCTGAGGCAGGAGGGTCACACAGGGCCAGTCCTGGGCAATTTAGCAAGATCCTGTTTCAAAACAGACATACAAATACTGGAGATGAAGCCCAAGGCAGAGTGCTTGTCTAACAAATGTGACAAGTCCTGGGTTCAGGTCCTAGTAAACAAACAAACAAACAAAACAAATGAAAAAAAAGAGAAGAAAAGATCTAGTTCAAACTAAACAGCTTCCTGGTAGTGGACTGCTTTCTCACCAGTAATAAAGAAAAACCTCAGTACATGCAACTGGCTCCCAAGCAGTAGTTACCTGGGCTCTTTAATTTTCTGGTCCTGTTTACCCATCATTAGGGATGAGATTCATGTACAGGCTCAGAGGAGCCAGTTTGGCCCTGCAGTGCTGAGGGTGTGTGACTCACTGGCACAATGTGTTGGTTTGGCCGCGTGACCAGATGGATGTCACGGCCACTGTGAGTTATGGAGTGAGGAGAGACTATCTCATACTGACTTCACATTTTGCAGTACAATAAAGCGGAGGAGATACTGGAGGGTTGGTCAGAGTGAAGGGAAAGGATCAAAAGATTCCAAATGATAGCATCCTAATTTTAGATGGCTCAGAATATTATTGTAAGACTAATAAGCATGATAGATTTGAATCCATATGATAATTTGGGTGTTCTAAGTATACTTGATCCTCAGAACGATTCAAACAGTAGGTATTCTCAGTCCATTTTACAGAAAGGTAAGTGAAGCTATGGAGATTTGAAGAAGATTGCATTTCTAGTAGGTGCAAAAACAAGACCATCTGAATCCAGCCTAACCAGGGTCCACAGTGATCATAGCTTCCTTTTTAAGTGGTACCTCTGTTCATTTGGCACTTGGTGAAGCATATAAGGAGACCATTTGGCTAGAGGTATCTCTGTCCTGGAGTCTGATACCAGTCTAGTGATTATCTCTCTTGTTAATTTCTCTTTTTTGATCTCTAAATACAATAGAAATTATAGTCCAGCTTCATTTTTTCCCCAGTTAGGAATTCCTTCTGCATGAGTCTCAAAGCACCACTTTGAAGAAGGGCCAAAATTTCCCCACAGTCAATCAGAAATAGATCTTTATAGTGGTGTTTCTTAACTAGGGACAATTTTGTCTCCCCCTCCCACCCTGGGGATATTTGGCAATGTCTGGAGACTTTCTGATGGTCACAAATAAGGGTAAAAGGCTACTGGCATCTAGGGCAGGGATGCTGCTAAGCAACCTACAATATCCAAGGCAGTCCGAACAGGAATTATCTAGCCCCAAAGGTGCATAGTGCTGGGGCTCAGAAGCCTTGCTTTATGGGGACACATGAGCATGGAGATACTCTATGCTATGAGAAGATGGATGTCACCAGATGTCCACTTCAGCAGAAATAGGTAATGCTTTTTGGTAATGGATTCTTTTCTCTTGACAGGTCCTTCATTTTGAAAACGTCAAAGATGTGCCCTTTGGATTTCAAACAGTTACCTCGGATGTAAATAAACTTAGTTCCTTTTACTCTTTGAAGCTAATCAAGCGGCTCTATGTAGACAAGTCTCTGAACCCTTCTACAGTAAGTTTCCTTTCACAGCTATTGGCAAGATTTAACTTTTTACCAGGAGTGGCGTCTCACGTTGTTAGACCTATCCCCTTTTTTCCCAATAAAATTCATTTCTAGAATGTTCATGTATGATCTGAGACCTCTTAAAATAAGTCAGTCTGCATGAGGAGGTTGAGTGCTGTGGAACTTGAGAGCAGTCACATCTTCTAACATAAAACAGAGCAGCTGGTGGGCTCCCCTTTTGCTTCTCAAACACTCAGGAATCCCATTCCTCCTTCCCTGCGGGCAGCAAGGAGAATGGAGTGATTAGCCGTCTAATAAATGTATCTCTATAGACAAGAAGTGCAAGACAACTTGTGTTTTAAACTTCTTTCTCCTTAAACAGCAAGGTATATGGCCTGACAGTGCTTTAAGAGCTCCATCTCGTTCATTTATGTACACAATATGCTCCTAATGTTCCTCAGAATCAATAAGAAAAATAATATGAATTAGCATTTTTCATCAGTCACTAATTTTGTTTGTTTTACTAGGTTGGCCAGATAGTATCTGTACAAAGTAGCTCCAGTTCTTATTGTTCAGCTATTTCTTGAAACAATCATAGAAAGAACCTTGTTGTCCCCTTGCCTTGGGCCCCAAGGTATATCATAATATTTTTTAAGCCTTTATTTGAAATACATAGTCAAAATTTTAGATTACAAAGAGGTTCCCTCTCTACTTTAGTAACACAGATTTGATTCAGTTCCTGTGTGGATGGTTGGAGTTTCAAACTTGCTAAATTTAGAAGCTAGTCTACTGGATAAATACTTTACATTACATTACAACTTCTGTAATAGGTATTTGTTCTTGTGGTTGACATTTTTTGAGGGCACAAGTCACTAGATATTGTTGTGATTTTATTCTTGGGGCTTGAAGACACATATAAACAACCATTCTATTTCAATAATCACCTGGGAAATTAAACAAAATTGAAATGTGAGTTGGTGCTGGGTATGAAAAAAATGGAAATGCTCCCTCATTGATCTTTAAGGAGATGCGTAATATGTTTCTGTTGCAGTGAGGGTAATGGAGGCCCTCATCTTGCTGAGGCTTTCTGACTTCTTAGTTAGTACTGACTCTCAGTGAATGGCAAGTCAGTTCCACGGTCATATTGCAGTTAAGTGTGGCTGACTTAATTGGTTGGGGCTGTAGAGGCTCAGGAGAAATTCAAGGAGCCCCAGGCTTAGGAGTAAGTGATGTGACATTCAATTTATGTATAGTTTGGTTGAAGTTCCAATTCAACATTTGGAGTGATTTCAATCAAAGTAGGAGCCTGCAAGATGTTTTTTAGACTGCTTTCCATTGCTTTTGTTGGTACTTAGCACCTGAAAATTTACTAGGTAATTGTACAAACAACTGTTGTCCAAGAAGGGCCACCTGTATCAGAACCACCTGGATGTTTGTTGAAAGGGTGACTTCTAGGCCTCATTTCTTCCTCTCTTTTTAATTAAAAAATTCATTACAGTAAGAAACATTGATATTAACTCCCCTCAAAATACTCCTCCTTGTTTTAATCCCATAGTGTTAACCACTTTCTGGAGAGTTCTTCCTTCCCTCTTTCTTCTCTCCTTCCCTCTTTCCCTCCCTTCCTCCTTCCCCCACCTCTCTCAGTACATGTCTTCCATACATACTGAATACCTTCACCCTGGGGAGTTGCTCCATGTACATATCCCATTTTAATCCTTCTGATTTTCTGAACCAAAATCAGTGCAGATGAGATTTAGGAGTTTGCAATTAAAATAAGCTTTAGGGTTAGAACCACTACTATATTCTCTTTTTTTGTTCGTTTTTTTTTCTGGTACCAGGAATCGAACTCATGACCTTGCGCTTGCCAGGCAGGTGCTGTGCTGCTGAGCCAAATCCCCAGCCCCGACTACTATATTCTCTGTAGCACTATGTTTCAAATTTTAATGTATAGATTGAACACCTGGAAATCTTGTTAAAATGCAGTCTGATTCAAGAGGTCTGGGGTGGGGCCTAAAAGTCTTCATTTCTTACAAGGTCCCAGGTGACACTGGTGCCTTCTGATTCTTGGACTCTACAACTGAATATCAAGGATCTGTAGAATATTTATTTCAGTAAGGATAAGAAATTTCTATGGATGGTTTTTTTTAATGTACATTTCCACTTTTTATGTATGTATGTATGTATATATCTATCTCTCATTATCTGTGTCTGTGGAAATTGGAATTCCTCTTATAACTGTGTATTTTTAGCATAGTGTCTCTTTTGTTTTCCTGAAAGTTGATACTAAATTGATGGAAACATCTAATAGCTGAAATGTCTTATAATTGAAGTAGTAAAGTATTGAATGCAAAGAAAATTCTCTTATTTGTACATGAGGTTTCAATTCATATTGTGTTGCCGATTCTTAAAGTGTATCCACAGCAATAGATTTAAAAAAATTCTTTTGTTAGAACAGTGTAACAATACAATAGCTGGATTATAGATCTTAAGTACTCTGTGACTTTTTGAACTGGATAATTTCCAGGAATTCCTCAGCTCTACAAAGAGACCATATGCAAAAGAATTGGAAACTGTTGATTTCAAAGATAAACTGGATGAAACAAAGGTTCAGATCAACAACTCTATTAAGGATCTCACAGACGGCAAGTATTCCTTAACTTGTTCTGCTATAAATGGCTAAGTAAACAGAGCCTCCCTTCTCATAAATCCTTGCTCCAAGCGTTAGAAAACTGAACATCTGGAGGACTTGTTGGGTAGTATTTTTAGGACATGAGCTACATTCTTGCCCGTCAAGCCATGTCAACAACTTGAATTTCTGGGCATATCGTGTATGGTCTCATCACTTGGCAGAAACTGCAGGTGCTTTAGTTTCCGTCTGCTTTGTCTTGCTCTCCCTGGAGCTTCCACACGCCCTGGAGGAGCCCAAGATGGGCCTCAAACAGGATGGCTTTTGACAAATCATGAGGCCAGTTTTTAACTCTGGAAATGGAAGAACGGGTGTAATTTGATGATACTTGAGGCCCCTTCCAGCTAAAAAATTCTGCAGATTTATTAAAGGATTTTAGGCAAATAAAAATATAGAAAAATAAAATAAAACAAACACTATAGTGGAAGCTTATCTTTGGTTCACAACACCTTATGCTGGTTTTCTGAGAGTCTGGAGGTTTGATAGCTATACATTCCTGCCTCCTGCTTAGTGTTGCCCTGCTGCCTTCTCCTTCCATTCAAATTCCCTGTGAGTCATCTGCCTTGATTGGAAGGAAGTGGAACTAAGGTATTTAGATTCTAATCAGTGACTAAGTCACCTTCAGTGGGGGATACATTTATGATAATTGCACATCTAGGTACTCACTTGGGAAACAGCCGACAGTCATTAAGGCCAGTAGCATATGGTAGTGGCAGTTGGCTGTGGAGGGCTATGCTTCCAGGGTAAGGGAGACACACTTGTGAGAATGAGCAGAGCTCATGGGGGCGTAGACTCATGAATGACAAAGTCCACATATAATGACATGGAATGGACAAGAATTTTGGAGTTTTTTAGGACCTAGGTTCAAATCCAGGCATTGCCACTTATGAACAATGATATTTGGAGATGGAACTTCAGTTTATCAAACTGTAGAGTGGGGCATGCGCTACCTGATTTTTACCAGGTTGTGAGGATAAAATTAAATAATATATACTAACAAATGACAGCTATAGATCTAGTTGCATGTACACACATAAATACATACATACAAATCTGAAATAAAGCTTCTTTGGCTCTGTGAAAACAAAACTTTGATGCATATAATACCAGGACGAGTACAATTTAAAAAATTAAAAGCACAAAAAAGCTGTTGCTTAGAATTTTGAAGTAGTTATATTTTCCCTCAAAGGGTTTTTTTTTATTTTAAAATCTCAATATATGTAAAATTTTGGACTAGAGAATGTAGATTAGTAAAAAGATTTCTGAATTCGGAAACAAAAGCTCAGAATTTAAATTGAAGCTCTGCGACTTATTGGTTCCCATGCTTCTTTGTTCTTCAAATTTCTTCAATAATGCTGTTACATATTTGATACATATAGCATTGGGTAGACCAGTTGCATAATTTGCAGTGTTCAGTGCAAAAATGAAAATGCAGGGCACTTTTTAGAAATTTTATTAATATTTTTGAGATGGTGACAATAGAACATTAAACCAAATGCAGGGCTCTTTGCATACAGGTCCAGGCCTTGAGGATTATTATGAAAATCAGAAAGTAGGGAAATGAAAATGTCAGGTGCTATTTAAATATAAGAAAATCTAATTATTAAGGGATTGTCATGTTGAAGTCTAGCTTGTGGTAATCACAGTTGACCTTGAGACTGATGTCCTGCCTGCAAGGAGCAGGCAGGATTGGGGGCCTTCAGGTAAAAGGAACTATTATCTTGACATGCTTTCCAGCTGAGTGAACTATGACAGCTCTTTGATCTCTCTGAGCCCCAATTTTCACAACAACCCAATGGGGATAATGATCTTTGCCTTACAAGACTATTGTGAAAAAAAAAACGAGAAAGTGTAGATGGAAGTGCTGAGCACAGAGCTAGGTTTATGTAAAGCCATGGAACATGTATTTTGGCTTGAAAGCACAGGCTTTGAGTCAGAAAGACCTGACTTCTCATCGCAGGTCTCTCTTTGGTAAGTCTGGTGTGATGAAGCAGAAGGAGATAAAGTCCTGAAATTGTGGTTTGTGCTGCTAGGCCCTGTGTGCTGTGGCTCTCAGTGGCTCATGCCCAGTGAATGAGCATGCGCACTTATCTCAGATGTAGTTTAGAAGGATAACTCTGTTATTTGTGGTTTTCCAAAATTGTTTGCAGGCCACTTTGAGAACATTTTATCTGACAACAGTGTGAGTGACCAGACCAAAATCCTTGTGGTAAATGCGGCCTACTTTATTGGAAAGTGGATGAAGAAATTTCCTGAATCAGAAACAAAGGAATGCCCTTTCAGAGTCAGCAAGGTATGTGGTAGCAGGCAGCAGTCAAATAATCCTACTCTAAGTTTTTAATTAATTAATTTTTTGCTTTTTAATTTTGATTTATTTTTCATTTGTACACATTTGCAGTACTGATGATTACACTTATCATGGGGAGTTTGTACATGTACGTAACACATCTTAATTCCTTTTTTTTTTTGGTCCCCTTCCCCTCCTATTCTCTCCCTGCTCCCTCCAACTCTTGTTTTCCTTCCCATTTACAAAAGTTCCATTTCCATTTTATTGCCATAATTTCTTAGGTCTAGAGTAGGGTGCATCTGCTTGAGGCGTTGGCAGGTACATGCGTGCACCCTACTCTAAATTGAAAAGATTATGGCAACAGAGGGGGTGCAGGAATTCATCCCAGTGAGGAAGATGAGGACATAGGAATCTTTAGCAAGAAAGGAAAAGAAATGAAAACAAACCGAGTCTTATCAGAGGCCTTTGGTTTGTTGTAAAACCTTGACCATTTAGGCATTTTGTTTCTCACTAACTTCTTTATAATCTCTTGTTTTTACCTATTGATTGGGAAGCACATTTTTTTTTTTTTTTTTTGTCTTTTTGAGACGGAGTCTCACTATGCAGTGCAGGCTGGCCTTGGGCTCACTTTGTAGCCCAATCTAGTCTTGAACTCACAACGATCCTCCTGTCTCAGCCTCCAGAGAGCTGGGATTACAGGCGTGTACGACCACGCCTGGCTGATTGTTTTGATTTTGTATTTCTTTTTCAGTGCAGAGCATTGAATGCAGGGTCTCAAAAATGCTAGGTAATGCTTCAACAGAGAACTTGATATTTTAATTTGCAATTCATAAGGTACTTGGAAGCATTTGTTGACTGTGAAGAAAGAATGGCTCACTCACCTGCATCCCCGGGTGTCATTACAGGAGGTGATTAGATCCCTCTTTTTCAAGGAAGTCTCATTAAAGCCATTGATGTGCATATTTGAAAAATAAGTGGTACACATGGGTAAAGCACCTCTTCTGTAAATTAAACCAAAGAAGTGAGATTGGAAAACTGGCCCATTTTATTGGAGAATCTAGGAAAATCCAGGGATCCATATGAAGATGTGACTTGGTCTCCACTGGAGTGATAACTTGTGTTAAGAACAGACCTAAAGCAACCCTTCTTTTACCACAGTACTTGAAGAAAGCTCACCTACCTGGTAGCTTGTGTGCATTCATTTATTTTTCAAGTTTCTTCCAGAACCTAGAGTACCTGAGACCAGTCACTTATTTTTGCCAAATACAGTAGAACCTTTTTAGTGCCAGAATCTAGGGGGAAAAGACCTTCAAGATATGAAGTTAGAGGGGCTGGCTTCCATGCGTCTTCCTTTTTTCTCCAAAGAATTTTTTTATATTATGCCTACTTCCAAATTTACTTTTCTCTGTAGAATTTGTTTGTCTTGACTAGGTGCTCCACTAGTGGATGGGCTTTATAATAGCAGGGACCATACCTTATTTATCTTAAAGTGTACAGTTTGGTCACACCCTGGACACACCACTAAGTGCCTGGAAATTTGTTGAATGAATGAGCAGTTAATCCCCAAAGGTCAGTTTGCTTAAGCAGTCGATGTCAGACAAACCTGATTGACCTTTACTGGGCATTTTCACTGACAGAGGACAACCTTACCTACTCAGAATATTGATGAGTAGTAGAGGGGAGTTTGGGGTCCTCCTTCCAATCTCTGTTTCTGAGCTTGGCTTCCCGACTTCAGTGGTCTTCTCAAAGCTGGCTGCTAGAGATAGGACTGGCTGTGAGCAACAGATGTGTATCTGAGACACTAGGTTCTTCAGACTCAGAGTTTTTCCACATGTATATGGTTTTTTGAGTTTTTCAGCATGGCCTTTTCATTTTCTTAGTATTGTCTTTCAAGGAGCTGAAGTGGAGCATGAATTCACAGCCTGCCAGTGGTGTCCAACCTGCTGCACAGCTTCTTTTCCCTCTTTTAAAAATGTTATAATTAAAAATATAAAAAATAAAAAGTTTTATTACTTTTATACATTAGCTATATTACATATGGTTCAACACAACTCCTCTTCCATGAAAAGAAAAGAGCAAGGAAAGAAAGAAAAGGTGGGCTGTAGGGTGGTCACAACTGGGAGTCAGCAAGGAGTGGGCACCGCACTCCCTGACCTGTTGTAGAGGCCCCTTCTGTCTCCCTTGACCTGGGTCTGGCTTTCCTTCCTGACAGGGGCTGGAAGAGGGTCCCTGAATATGTTTAAGTGAAATCTCAAACATGTTGTTAATGCTTCCTCTCATTAAGTCCTTAGAGCTACATCATGAAATCCTATAGGCATTAGTGAGTCCCAGACTTTTGTGTTGATCACGTTAGAGTTTCTAGTTTTTACACTTAAGAAACCATTAATGTGTGTCTTTTGGGAATAGAGGAGGAATGTGTGCCATCCCTTTATTGTTGCAGTTAAACCATAAAGCTAGGTGATATCAGACTTTGGAAGCTCCAGACTCTCTGAGCAGAATTAAAAGTGTGACTTGTCATAAATCTTTCAGTGCTTTGCTTAATTACACAGTAAAATCTCAAGGCTGCGTGGGAATACACCCTCCTTTTGAGTGCAGACGCTGTTACTTCTCTTTTGTTTCCTTTGAGTTGGTTTTGTCAACCCTTGAACTTTTTGAATGATGTTACTAAACTTTTCACATGTCTGATGGTGTCACCTTCAATGACTAGACTAAACTGGCCAAAGTTGAGTATATACATATTAAAAGTTTAGTTACATATTTACATATGTATTTATATACATATATGCACAGAGGTTGAGTATCCCTTACTGTAAAGGCTTGGGACTTGAAGTATTTTCAGATTTTGGAATATTTTCAGACACATAGTGAGCTATCTTGGGGATGGGACCTATATCTAAACACAGAATTCATTTCTGTTTCATATACATCTCATACACATAGTTTGAAGGTAATTTTATGAAATACTTTTAGTGCCTGTTTAGACTGTGACCTGTCACATACTGTACTGTATTTCCCAGAATAACCTTTAGTTGATTCTGGTTTCAGAGGGCAAATCTCAACTGGTGTTTCAGGAAATGGGATTATTGTGCTCACATTCAGTTGCTGATAAGTTGATGACAGCTTTTGGAGGCCACCACTACATGTATATTCAGAAACTATTAGGAATGTGACCTGATGGCAATGTTTAGACAAATCTATACCTTTTTTAGAAGAATAAATGGAAAAATTATCAGTTAATTTCAAAGACATCGTGTTTTTCCAGCATAGTTCCGTTTCTCGTTATACATGAAATTGAAATCTTCCATTATTTATCTTCCAACTTTTCAGTAAACACTTGCTATATGATGGAATACACTAGGAGGTAAAACATGGTTCAGCCTTGAATATATTTGAATTGAGGTGGAAGGTAGAAAGATAAATAAATATCTCATATAAACAAATAAATATACATATAAATAAATATTTCCAGCACTGTAGCAAGTATTGAAGTAGAGATATATGCAAAAAGTAAAGTAACTAAGTTGTAGGTCTGCTTGAGAGAGGTGTTGGTAAGGTTCAGTTACTGTTTTGCTGTAATATCTCTGCAGATCTGATATGAACCTTAAAGTCATTCCCTCAAGAGATTCAGTTAGCTGGCAAATATCCTATGGGATATCAATAAGTAATAATAAGTTACATTAAATTACCTCCGGTCTTTTACTTCTTAGTGAAAGTCAGTTTTCCTTTAGAAAACCAATCTCTGTGGAGGAGATGGGGATGTGGATGGGGTGGGGGGAGCCTGGCTGGTTCCTGGAGATAAATGCATGAGTGATAAGACCATTTCATGGGCTCTGCTGCAAAAAGAGCACAGAGTGTGTTGGAACTGGGAGAGACTGAGAAAAATTCTTGAGAGCATTCTTATTTTTTAAAATCATGAAGTACTTCAAGCAGACAGAAACTCATAGAGTATAATAAGCAAACACTGATGTACCCAATGACCAACTACAACAGCTTAATGTTTTGCCTTGCTTATTTTAAATGGTTTAAAGAAAAAACACAACAGCAGCTGCACTGCCTATACATTGTCACTATCACCCTCCCACTGTTCTCTTCTTTCCCTTCTTCCTTCACCAGGACCATTATGAAATTTCCAATTTTCTTATTCCATGGACACGGAAACTATGTCGTAGAGAGGTCAAGTGAGTTGCTGAGTTTCAGGAACAGTTGCACTTGGGGCTGAAACTCACTCAGATTCTTATTTCTAATCCGGGCTGCTCACCAGCTCAGATTAGAGCAGATGGCAATACTGGATGGAGCAGTTGGCACAAACCAAAGGCAGAGGCCAAACCGAATAGGACTTTGTCCTGATGTATGCTAAGATGTCAAAGCATTTTTAGGAGCTCTCTGTAAATGGATGCGTGGGTGTGCACTAGAGTTTACATTCAAGTCAGTTCCACTAGGAATAAAGATCTCATAATTATGTCCGTAAAGATTAACACAAACTTTGCCTATATTATCAGTCATTCTGTCTTATTTTAATGTTTTGTATATGCAAGTATAGTGGATGTAGTTGCTTTAATGTATAATATGTGGAATTATGACGTATGTCAATAACTTTTCAAAGGAAGTCATAAACTCTTCACAGGACTCTAATGGTTTGGGTGCAGCACAGTTTGGGTCGTAGTGGATGTACCATAAACCATAATGATTTGAAACCATGAGAGCTAATTTGTGTACATTTAAGTCTATCTGTATATTTATGTATGTGTAGATAGATTTCTCTATGTGTGCATATGTGTATATGGGGGTATAGATATTGTATATGTATATATGCATTTTTGTGTATGAGTATATGTGTGCACATATATTCACACTTATGTAAGTTGAGAACGGTCTAAAATCTTTTCCTTTAACAGACAAACACCAAACCAGTGCAAATGATGAATATGGAGGCCACATTCTGCATGGGGAGCATTGATGATATCAGTTGTAAGATCATAGAGCTTCCTTTTCAAAACAAGCACCTCAGCATGCTCATCCTGCTCCCCAAGGATGTGGAGGATGAGTCCACGGGCTTGGAGAAGGTGAGAAAGGAAGCAGGGGCTCAACCCTCAGGACAGCGCGGTGTGGCCTGTGAGATGTGGGTGGCAGCTCTGCCTCAGGTGGCATTGGCTCAGTCATCCCCAAAGCCTTTGGGGTCCCGTCTGGGCCATTGTTTTTTTTTTCCAGTTTTCATTTTTTTATTTTAAGGAGGAAAAAAAACCCCAATATTTCAAAACAAGTTAATAGGATAGTAATGGTTATTACATTATGTATTGTTATCTTTAAATTAGTTACTCAAAGTACAAGATATAGGCATTTAATTGTTCAAACAATATTAGCACAAACCTTTCTTTTCAATGAACTAAGAGAAATTAGTAATGTAACTATCATGTGTGTGTGTGTGTGTGTGTGTGTATATATATTTTTTCCCTTCCTTCTTTTCTCTACTCCCCCATCCCAGTTTCTCTTCCCTTTTGACGTTTTTTTCTCCCCATTTTACAATATCCATTGTACATTTTGGATCTTATTTACTCTTTCAGCTTCTCACACTAGGGAAACAATATGATGTTTACACATGTGTGTCTGATTTATTTCACTTATGAGTATGGTCTCAAGTTGCATCCATTTACCTATAAAAGTTTCTTTATGGCTGAGTAGTACTCTATTGTGTGTGTGTGTGTGTGTGTGTGTGTGTGTGTGTGTGTATGAAAAAGATGTTGAACATCTTTTTTATCCATTCCTTGGTTGATGGGCATTTGGGTTGTTTCCATGATCTAGCTACTACAAATTGTGTTACTCTAAACATGGGAGCACATATATTGCTGTGGTATGATGTTTTTAATTCTTCTGGGAAGATACCCAGAAGGGGAATAGCTGGGTCAAATGAGCCTGCTAATCTTAGTTTTTTGAGGAATTGCCACATTGATTTCCACAGTGGTTGCACTAATCTATACTCCCACCAACAGTGGAGAAGTGTTCCCTTTCCCCACAGCCCCTCTAGCATTTGTTACTTGTTGATTTCTTGATAATAGCCATTCTTTCCAGGGTGAGATGGAATCTCCATGTTGTTTTAATTTGCATACCTTGAATGACCAGGGATGTTGAACATTTCTTCATATTTTTATTCGCTGTTTCTATTTCTTCATATGAGAAGTGTACATTTGTCTCAGATGCCCATTTTTGGATTAGGTCTTTAAATTTGGGAGTTCTGATTTTTTTCAGTTCTTTATATGTTCTCGATAGTAATCCTTTGTCTGAGGAACAGCTAGCAAACATTTCTTTCTCACATTGTGGGTTGTCTCTTCACTCTGTTGGTGGTTTCTCTTGCTGTGCAAAAGCTTTTCTTAAAAAAAGTTTTTTTTTTTGTTTTAATGAGAGAAAAAAACAATAAAAATGATACAGAACATAAACAAAGATGATAGGAAAACAAGATGATAGGAAATTAACAGTGGTTATTATATTGCATATTGTTATCTTCAGAGTAGTTGCTTAGATTACCAGATACAAAACTGATCAAACAGTAGAAGCACTAACTGTTCCTTTCAATGAACTAATAGAAATTGATAGTACAATTATAGCTATCTTATGTATATATACATATCTTTTTTTTCCCTTGTTCTTTTCTCTTTTTCCCAATTACAGTTGCTCTTTCCTTTTGAGCAGTTTCTTTCCCTTTTGCAATGTCTATTGCACCTTTTGTCTTTTTTTTTGTTGTTTGTTTGTTTGTTTTTTTTCGGTACCGGGAATCGAACTCATGACTTCGCACTTGCCAGGCAGGTGCTGTGATGCTGAGCTAAATCCCCAGCCCCTCTATTGTACCTTTTGGATCTTATTTACTTGCTCAGGTGCTTACACTAGGGAAACAATACAATGTTTACACATGTGAGTCTGGTTTGTTCCACTAATGAGTATGATCTCTAGTTGCATCCATTTATCTATGAAAACCTCAAGTTTATCTTTCTTTATAGCTGAGTAATATTCCATTGTATGAAAATGCCACATCTTTTTTATCTGTTCCTCAGTTGTTGGACATTTGGGTTGTTTCCAAGATTTAGTTGCTACAGATTGTGCTGCTATAAACATGGGTGCACATATTTTGGTATGATGTCTTCATTTCTTCTGGGAAAGTACTCCTTTTGGTTTTAATATGGAAACAGCCCACAATTATTTAGCACTTACAATAGTGCTAAATTCCTGACATGTACTATCTTATTAAATTCTTAACAACAGTCTCATGAATTAGAAACAATTACTACACTCATGTACCAACAAGGGAACTGAGGGAACTAGTCAGTGATATGTAGACAGAGGGTTTGAGCTCGGATAGTTGGAGCCATGTTCCTAACTCTAGAATGTCATACTCCCTGCATCTCCTTAGCAGAAAGGCCCCACAGTGCTACCCAGCCTATTATGTTAAGAACAGAAGCTATTAAAGAGCAAAATGTTAGTAGACTTCATTTTTCAGCAGGGGGCATTGAACCCATGGCCTATGTACTAAGCTACACCTTCAGCCATTTTTAACTTTTTTATTTTGAGACAGGGTCTCACTAAATTGCTGAATTGCCCAGGTTGGCTAAAACTTGTGATTTTCCTGCCTCAGCCTCCTAAAGTGCTTGGATTACAGGCATGCTACATGGTACCAGAGTAGCAGACTATTTTTTAGAGCAGTTTTAGGTTTACAAAAGAATAGAAGGTTCCTGTGTACTGTTTCTCTCCTGAATCCTGCAGTTTCTCCTGTTCTTAGCATTTTGCATTAGTGTAGTACATCTGTTATAAGTGATGAGCCAGTATTGATGTATTATCATTAAGCCACTTACTAGAAGCTTCACTCTGTATTGTGCATTTATGGATTTTAAATAGTTTAATTCACACACACACACACACACACACACTCACACATGAGATTGTATTATGCTTCAAATATTTTGTATTATACAGGTCATTATTATTACCTAATGCTATTGTCACATATTATATTATTATTTTATTATATACAATATGTTGTAAAATATATTTTCCTGTACTATGTATGTTTATTACTTTATATTATGACATATTTATACAGATTATCATAGCCACAGGATTGAGTGGAAGTAGAGGTTTTATCTGTTTATGAGAGAATGCTAGCTTCCTCTCTCTCCATCCTCTTCTGGTACATGGCCTCCCACAGGCTTCCCCTCCCAGTTTCCCTCAGACTCCACTTTCCCTGGACTGCAGCCAGGAAAGAGGGAGGGGGCTCTTAAAGAGCCAGTGTTCATGTGCTGCATTTCCAGTAAGGTCTCGGTTACTTCTGACTCTGAGGGACGGACAAAGTCAGTCCCCTTCTTACCTACTACTTTAGTTCATTATGCTGTAGCCATCACTTTGTTAGCTGAGTAATAATTTTTGTCCTTTTTTTCTTTGATGTAGTATTCTCTTGCTTTTTTACTCCATTTCATGTCATAAGCATTCAGCTATTATTCTACTGTCTTGGATTTCATCTTAAAATATCCTCCTACAAGTGTCAATTATTTCTTCTGAAAGTATAGAACTAAAGAACATGACTTTTTGGTCTCAGAAAGAAATATTTAAGCACACATATTGTGTCAGTTTGTTATGGCTGTCATAAGGAAGTGTCACAAGTGGATGGCTTACACAGCAGATGTTTATTTTCTCACAGTTCTGGAGGTTGCAAATCCACGATCAAGCAGCACTGTCCCTCGAGGGCTGTAGGGAGAATCTGTTGCCAACCTCTGTCCTAGCTTCTGGCTTCCAGTCGTCTATGACAATCTTTTTTTTTTTTTTTTGTACTGGGGATTGAACTCAAGGCCTTGTACATACTACCCAATTGCTCCACCATTGAGCTACATCTCCAAAAAAAAATGTTTTTTTTAAAGGGAGTAGCAAATGAGAAAGAAACAAACAAAGAAAAAGAACAGGAGCAGCATACCAGTATCACAAACATAAACAAATCAAAGCAAGAACATTCAAAGTAATACAGAGTCTCAAGACAAAATAATATGAATCAACAGTGGTTGTTACATTACATATTGCTATCCTCAACTACATTGCTCAGATTACCAGATGTAAGAATGAAAGACTGCTCAAAACATTATAGGGAATAAGAAAATAATTCTTCAATAAAACGTAGAGATAATACAGAGTTTCACTAGACAAGATGGTTGGAGTTCACCATTGTAATTCCATTGCATACTGTTACCTTCAAATCAGTTGCTCAGACCACCAGACACAAGCATGCACAAATCGATCAGAATGTAAAAAATTGTAATCACTAACTGTTCATTTCAATACACCATCAGACATCAGCAATACAGTTGTCTCAGCTATTCATATATGTATTTATGTTTTCCTTCTTTTTTTTTCTTCTTTCCCTCAGCCCAGTCGTTCCTTCCTTTGAGCAATTTCTTTCCCTTTCCTATCCTCTATTGTGTGTTTTGAGTTTTACCTAGTCCTTCAGGTTTCTACACCAAGGAGACAATATGATGTTTGCCCATCTGGGTCCGATTTATATCACTTATGAGTATGGTCTCTAGTTGTATCCATTTACCGACAAAAGCCTCAAGATTATATACATGCACCCATGTTTATAGCAGCATAATTTGCTATAGCTAAATCTTGGAAACAACCCAGATGCCCATCCACTGAGGAATGGATAAAAAAGATGTGGTATTTTTATATGATGGAGTATTACTCAGCTATTAAAAAAAAATCTTCAAACTTTTTAACAAAATTTTTTTCTTTGAGATAGGATTTCACTAAGTTGCTCAGGCTGGGTTTCAACTCCCAATTCTGCTGCCTGCCCTTCTTGAGTAGCTAGCATTAGAGGTGTGTAGCATGGCATCCAGCTCACTGGCAATCTTTGCACCTTGGCTTGTGGATACTCCACTCTGATATCTGCCTTCATCTTCACTTGGCTTTGTCCTGTGTTTGTCCTGTATCTGTGTCCACATTACTCCTTTTAGTAAAGACGCTAGTCTTATTGGGTTAGGGCTCACCTTAAGGACCTTGTATTGATTTATATCCAAGTAATGTTACATTCTGAGTTCCTTTTTTTTTTTTTTTTTTCTTCTGGTACTGGGAATTGAACTCACAATCTTGCACTTGCCAGGCATGCGCTGTGCCTCTGAGCTAAATCCCAGGCCCCCTGAGTTTCTTTGATTAGAACATCAACATATGAATTAGGGATATGGTTCAACCTTTAGCACATACACAATGGGGGAAAAGTTTTGTTTCCCCGCCAATGTAATATTTTTGAATTATGGATGATTTTTTTTTCCCTCTTTCTACTCCCAGGTAGTAAATGGACTAAAGAATATATCGGTTGGCCCCCTGAAACTCTGGTTCTTATGAAAATCTTTTGGTTCTAATAATCTATCTTAAATGAGAGACTATTTATTGAAAAATAATTAGAATAGTTTATCAAGACAATATAATCACTCCTTCCCCATGAGTTTGTGACCTTGTCACTGTCCTCTTTTTCACTGGTTTCACATGAGTGTGATTAGTCCTGTTTTGCTGTGATCATATCAGTCAAGGTATAATCATTCTCAGGTGCACTTGTGTTTTTGCCTCTAACCAGTGGGAAGACTGAAGGGTGAAAATCAACTTAAGATTTACTGTATAAAGAATTTTATGACTAAGCTGTTTATACTTTCTTGCATGTCTCATTTTCAAAAACCAATGGAAAAGGATGAATTTACCATCAGTGAGCTCACAGAATAACTTGCAGACAGCCCACGTTCCCATTTTTTAAATAAAGAGTAATTTTGACTTTAATTTGAATTATTAAATTTTGGCATGCCCAGCATATGGATATTCTGGATTTGCTTGTAGAGAAATTTTAAGCATTTATGAAATATATATAAAACCTTTCTAATTTTATCTTCATTTCTCTGTTGCATATTCAGCATCACAATCCATACATCTGTTTCAGTAAATTTACTCTATAACTCAAAACAAATGAATAAAAATGCCCTAGTACATTCCCGTGTGAGTGGAGCAGTGAGCACCGATGTAGGGCGGGGAGGAGAGAGGCTGGATGGCTGGAGGAGCTTCTAGGGGAATATCGTAACGTGCCGCAGGGGCATCCTTCCTGTTCCGTTCAGACTGCTTTGAAACTGGGTTCCTAGTAACACTTCATGTTTTTAATCAAGCAAAACCTTTTACAGTTAGAAATGAATAAGCCCGATTTCCTTTCTTTTTTGTCCTTCAGATTGAAAAACAACTCAACTCAGAGACACTGTTGCGGTGGACCAACCCCAGCACCATGGCCAATGCCAAAGTCAAACTCTCCCTTCCAAAGTTTAAGGTGGAAAAAATGGTCGATCCTAAGGCTAGTCTGGAAAACTTAGGGCTGAAAAGTTTATTTAGTGAAAGTACATCTGATTTCTCTGGAATGTCAGAAACCAAGGGAGTGGCCCTATCCAACGTGATTCACAAAGTGTGCTTAGAAATAGCTGAAGATGGTGGAGATTCCATAGAGGTGCCAGGATCCCGGATCCTGCAACACAAGGATGAATTCAATGCCGACCACCCATTCATTTACCTCGTCAGGCACAACAAAACGCGAAACATCATTTTCTTTGGCAAGTTCTGTTCTCCTTAAGTAGTATATCCCAAGTTAAGTCCCTCTTGATTTATCTGTGGATGCAGATTTCTATAAACTCTGCATCCAGAGAATCACTTTTTAAATGCAATAAATTGTTAACATTGCTGGATCAGGAAGCAGCTGGTACTTGTCATGTGTAGCCTTCACATTAACAGGCCCTTCTTTTCTAATTCCTTTGTTTCATTTTTTTTTTTTTTACCTCCATAAAAGAAAATAACGTATACTTTTAATGAAGAAGAAGCACATTAGAGGAACAAAATATTCTTTATCTGTCAAACTGTCCAGGGTTTTGGGCAAAATGGTCTTCCACATGAAAGAATTCCTATCGGGAAGATCTGGAGGATCTTGTTCCCAGCATTTACCTTTCTTCACCAGGACATAGAATATTCTAGATATCCTGAAAATCTAAGGAAACTCTAGTGCATAGGACCCACAAAAGTGCCCTCACCCAGTGAAATATGCACACATATACCCTCTACTGTGCAAGGCCTTCTGTTAAACTTTGGGAGACAAATTTTCTTTTTTCTCAAACTTTGAAGTTTTGGGATTTTAGGAAGATAATGTGCACCTACAGTTCAGTGCTTTTGGTGTGCTCTAGAAATCCATCAATGGGGTCTGCACCAGCACTGTATAAATCAGTGCCTTCATAGTTCTGTAGTGAATATTCACATAAAATGGACAAATGAAGAATATAGTCAATAAGTGGTCAAATTTTGCTGACAAATGAGTGTGCTACTGGCTTATAAAAACACTTTGTGGAACTTTTCAGATTTTGGAATGCTGGATAAAGAATTGTAGACCTATACTATTATAAGACACTAAAAGGAAACACAGCTTTTATTTAAAAATTGGTTTTCATTCCTAGTGGATGTCTCACCTGGTCATTTGGTGCTGGCCTGGTGTCAGGGCTTCCGACTCATCTGGTAAAGGGACTTAAAATGCACAAGGACTCTCCCAGTAGCCAATAATAATAAAAAAAAAAAACAAAGAACTTTTGGTGTTGAAGGACATTGGCTCTGTCTAATGTGATGGAGAAAAAAAAGAAACTTAAAACCCCTAGAAAATATAAGTAAAGCTATTAAAGTACTCAAAATGCCTTGATACATTTTTTTTTTTTTTTTTTTGGTCTGTGGGTGTCGTTACTTTAGACAGTGGGTTTGTAATTCATACTAATAGTACTTTGTAAAGTGGTTCTGATAAGCTGTTTTATGGCTTGTGTGTTAATTCACTTCCAAAAGGAAATATTCACTGAAGAGTTTGTGGCATTCTTTTCCTCATTCTTCCTTGCTATTCAGTGTAAATAGGTTGTTCTCCCTCTGCAGGTTCAATATCGAATTAGTCCTGTGCTATTGGCAATATAATTTTATTGAATTGTGTGTCATTTTTTCCATTAAGTTAGATAGACTACTTCGAAATGAAATCAAGCCATACATGTATGAAAGCATTCTTGAATATAAATGCCCCTTTGGTGACTGAGGTAGACTAAAAAGGAAAAGAATCATTCCTACCCGTTTCTTCTTCCTTTGCTATTTGCTCTCTCACTCCATGTGTTCCTGGGGAAGGAAGGACCCCCAGTGTGAGAATGCCTGCCAGTTACTTATGAGTTACATGAAACCCAAGGCCTTGCAGGGGAACCAGGACCGACTCTGCAGCCCTTTTAACTTTGGGGCCTCCCTCAAAATGTAATTTTGTTAAGTGAGTTATACATACTTAAAATATTTCCTTATTAAGTGAGTTTTTCTCAGTGCCATGTTGTTTAAGTTATTCATGTTGTCTCTTACAATTAACAGCCCTTTTCTTTCCGTGCAGTGTGCACAAATGAATGTGTCTATTCTTGCAATAAACATTAAGTCCCAAAGCTGACAAACACTCTTAATCCTAGAAAGAAATGGGCATTCTTGCAGGATGGTCAGCTTTTGCCACTTTTGACTTATTTATCCCCTTTCTCTGGGCTATAAAATAGAAACCGGGGAATGTGTATGAAACAGGTTAGCAAATGTTCACAGGAGAGAGATTTAGTGTCCCCTTAAACCAAGTGCTCAGGGAGGTTGAAATATTTCCTGGAATGTCTGAGTGGGTGGTTTCCAGCCAGCAGGCAATGCTGCCCACTAGGGGATACTTTTATTGCCACTCCTGTGAGGATGCCTCATGCGCAGAAGCCAGGGATGTGCTACACATTCACAGTGCCCAGAACAGGCCCCCACTGTGGTCATCTGGCTCACAATGCTGATTTCGCTGAAGGAGAGAAAATGGGGCTCTCACTGAGGGATAGACACAGACCGGGGGGTCCATGAGGCAGAACAAGAAAAAATGGCTGGAGCTGTAATGGAGGAAGAAGGATGTTTGCTTGCTGTCAGATAAAGAGATATGGAAGTAGCCACGCTTGTTTATTTTGAAAGAGGCTCTGCTCTGAGGGTCTGCCCAGTAAGGGCGAGGGTTTTCTGGAGGACCCATAGGAGCACCACAAGGAGCGCTGATGTTCAATAGCTGTCACATGCAACAGCAGGTTACAATGGCACCAGTCTAATAAGGCTCTCCACCCTCTTCCCTCTCCATCCAGCTGCACATACAAGCGGGGAGCTGGAGGGCTAGGCAAGTACATCGTAGCAAACTCAGGTCTGCTTCCTTCTCTCCTCGGCCAGTGAGCCTGAGATACACCTTAATGTGGTCGACAGAGAAGCTTTAAATGAAGAAGCTGAATTATGGCTTAGATTTCGGGGCCTGTTTGTTTCTGAAAATGTCTGTTAATGTAGGAAAGTGACTGAAAAAGGTTTAGTCTGGGGAATTTCATCTAGGGGATGAAGATGGGAAACAGTGAGACTGAAAAGGTATGGGGAAGAAAGAATCCAGGCACATTTTGTTAACACCCTGTCCAGTCCAGTCACAGGTATATTGTCCCATTTAATCCTCATCACAAACATGAGGAGGAAACCATGGTCCCATCTTATCAGTGAGGACTGTGAGACACGGAATACATATATAACCAGTTGCAGGCCATGGAGCTAATGAATACTGGTGGCTAGATTTGACCCCACGTAGACTGAGGCTAGAGTTGGAGCTCCTAGCTTCTGTCCCTGGTCTTTCAACTGGCACCGACCTCCTGACAGCTGGCCTCTGGCGGTGGCTGAAAGCCTCTTTCCCTTGGACTTTCTCTCTTTAGGAATTCCCAAATATTCATTCAGGGGAGTCCTTTTCTTATCCATTGAAACTTCCCCAGAGTCAGAGATGGTCCACCAGCAACAGGTTGAATCCCTTCATTTGTTTATTCTCACATTAACTGTAGTTAGGGACTCACTCTGAAGGGGAAGGGCAGGATCTCACATCAAAATTGTGACCATGCCACGGACACCGGCATCCCCAGGGCCTGACGATAGCAGCACCCTGGGTGTTATCACCCATACTACCTTGCGATGGACAAGCGTGGAGCTCTGTCTCTTCTGCTCTTCTCTGGTCTGGTCTGGAGGGACAGCCAAACACTCATGCTCCATCCCCATATGTTTGCCATATGAAAATGGCAAATTGTGCAGGAGTGCTTCAGTGAAGTGCTTGAAACTGGGAAGGTGAACTATTGAGAAAGGATGGGGATCCACTGCCACCTACAGAGCCTCCTGCATCTACCGCCATTCACCTGCTATGGCAGAGCCTCCTGGGAGGGTATTTTGGGACAGCCCTGGACTCTGAATGCAGGTCCTGCTGAAAGGTGTTGCACTTCAATTTAAATAATCCACCAGCTCACAGAAGACCCCCCCCCCAACCTGACAAGAGCAAGGACACATGATATATTGTTTTTTCTCCCTCGGGAATGGAGTTGTTGAGCTGTAGATTATGCAAATATTCATCTTTGCTAGAAAATGTCCAGCGGTATTCCTACATGATTTTTACCAGTGCCTCTCTATCTTTTATTATTATGATTAAATAGTGCTTATTAATAATCAATACTTTTTTCCTGTATGACTCTAAGCATTGCCCACTCATCCATGGAGTATTACGAGCTGGGAGTTTTGCTAAGCATGACAAATATTGTAATTCATCTTCCACAGCAACTGCATGAAGACCTGTCTGAGAGGTTCAGGCTCTTCCTGTAGGTGAGGGGAACTGAAGGACACTGAGGTTCAGAGATATGAGAAGAAAACCTTGCCGACCCTGCAAGGCCAGCAAACTGGATGGTTAGGACTAAAACCCCAGCTCTCTGATCCTATGACCTATGCTTTGATTATATTAAAAATAACTTACTTGGGGGAAGTGAACCATTTACCTTCAAAGAAAGATTTTCTTCTGTTTATGTTAAAAATGAAATATGAAATAGAAGATGAATAAATGCAGATAAAAATAAAACTTAGTTAAATATTTACATAATAAGTGAACATTCTAGCAATGTTTACTTTCAAACATTTCTGGTTAAATGTATTACATTTTTTTCCCCAAAATTCTATTTTTTCCTCAGAGGTCCTATTCAGTTCACTTTATGCTGTTTGTCATTTACACCAAATTAAAAAGCCTTCCTTCTTTTAATTTGAGTGCTTGGGCTGGAAGCCATGTTTACATCATTCTTATCATCAGTCTCACTTTACTGCCACGGAATATTTAAGAGGCAGGTGTTTTCCTTCTCCGTGGCCTCTGTCTCTGTCGCCATCCTCTGCCCTGACAATTACAGCTGCTTGAGTTTGCAAGGGCCTTTCAAATAAGGACAGCCAAGAATGTCACTGACTATAAGTGACTATTCCTGTCCCAGGACCCGGAACAGGTAAGGCAAATAACACAACATTATCCACCATTAGAGATGTGGCTACTGATGTGTCCTGGATTTCCTCTGCTTCAGGAGTCTTGCCAGACCCATAAGACAGTCCTCCCCATCCCTACATAAGCTCCTTTATACCCCCAACCCCCATCTCCTGGTATAGCCTGTATCAAATAGTAAATAGCAAAGACATATTTTGAATGGTGGAGAATAGTTTGATTGGGTAGATTCTCCATGTATTTTAGCTGTCTTGGCCATCCCTTGTGATACAGGGGAAAGAAACATCCAACCTGCTGGATGTCTGCTATGATTTTGTGTTCCCTAAAATTGAAGAATCAATTTTAGGAACAACGGAGGTTAAGAGCAGATTATATTTATTGGGAAAAAGAAAGCTTCTGTCCGAGAGACAGAAGAGAGCCCAAGTGGGTTGCCAAGGACCCTGCCTTTTCTAGGGATTTTTATAGAACACATCCATGAGGTGAGGCAGGTCCAGTGTGGGAAAAATGGGAAATCACAAGGTGGGCATGAAGTGGGAAAAAACTATGATCAACCAATGAGATTATGAGTTTAATTGCTTAGATAAAATTGATTACATTGAGATCAAATGGGGTAAGAAAATCATAGTCATGTAGCAAGCGGGCATGAATACAGAACAAAAGCCTTTCCTGTAGGGGGTTGGGTTAGTGGCTCTTCTCGGATCTTCCTCAAGGAGATCATATCTATTTACAGTATCAATCCCTGATGCTTATCCTTGGGAAGTATGTGGGTGTATTTATCTTTTCTTTTTTTGAACCAGGAATTGAACTCAGGACCTCATGCTTGCCAGGCAGGTGATGTGCCACTGAGCTGTATCCCTGGGCCTTGTTCTATCTTTTGTCTTGAGGTCTGACCCACAGTGGAGGTGTCTGTTTCTCCAGTTGCAAGGTATCTCATCTTCTGCACTGGCTCCTTTAAGGGCCTAGCCCTATCTGACTGCCTATATTTCTACCCAGCTTAGCTGTCTGTACCATTTCCGCCTCTGAAGAAGTACAGCAAACTGCTGTGAGAGAATAATGGGTGATGACTGATCTGGCTTCTTCAGGCTGAAGGGGATCGTAGTTGTTGATCAGCGGTCAGAGATACTCTACAGAGGGCCTATCTAAAGGCCCTGAGTAGACATCAGGCATTTTCATCTTGGGTAAGTGTATAGCTTTAAGTCTGGAGGAGACAAAGCCAAAGAAACAATTAAGTATGCATGACCAAATAATAGGATCAATAAGATAATTACGAATACAGTCAACAAAGATTTCTACCAAGAGGAGCTAGTAACGCTCCACCAAGAGGAGCTTCCCATGATAAAGATAACGATAGGGTCCAGGGAATTTC